TCCTTTGCATCTACCACGCTCTGGGTGAACCACATCCACCCTTTGTGTTCTCTAAACTGCCTCAAAACTGCAGGGTTGTACTTTTCTAGATCTTTCAACTGGATCTGTTGCTCAAGAGTGAGCGAACTCACTGGCCACCACTCACGAAGCTAGAGAAAGCAACCAAAATGACAAAAAGGGCCTCCCACACCTCTTTCTTTCTCGACCTTTCAAGGCCGGCAACTGTAGCATCTCCCACTCAGCCATCATCGGGTTTGTCATCAACTGTAGCATCTGGTGCCTCAGGGACAGGTGTAGTGGATGGCTCAGAAGCCTAGTTAGCACTTTTCGAACCCTCGGAAGTGCTCTGAGATGTAGAAGGATCGTCCCTAAGTTGATACCTTCCTGGTGGCTTTGATTGGACAGTTGGCTGCTCTTGAACAAAGTTTCCCTCCGATGCTTCCCTAGACGGGACATAAGAACTGGACTCAGAGGGCTCTGCACCTCTCCTTCTACCGGCTGTAGTATTCTTTATGATTATCTTTTGTAGGGCGAGGGGTAAAGCACTCTTGCCTCGACCCCATGAAGGTTCACCCCTCCCCTTTGAAGTATCACCTCTACCTCGAGATCGGACCATTTTCTATACCAAGCAAAGGCAGTTGTTAGTAGCAATTCAAGTTCAAATAGACAAGAACACACCAAAGAAGATAGTGAAGAACACAGTTGAAACATGTTCGCATGGTAGGGAGTTGCGATCCGCAAAATTTTCATTGCGGCCGCAGAATGGGCATTGCGGACTGCACAATTTTCCATTGCAACCATAGAAATAGATTGCGGTCTGCACATTTCTCATTGCGGCCGCAACTGAGATACCACCAATATGCCAACTCTCTGATGATAAAGGATTGGCTGTTTTATGGTCGCAACCAGCTTTCTGTGGTCCGCACATATCTCCTTGCGACCGCACATGAGAGTCACCGATTTGACAACTCTCTGATCTCAAAATATAAGTTGTTCTGCGGCCGTAGTGGGATTTCTGCAGTCCGCACATTTTTCATTATGGCTGCAGAATCATGCCTTACTAAAGTACCCTAGACTTTAACTTCTACGGACCACACAATTTCTTGTGTGGCTGCAAATTGCAACCAATTACGACAGACAATCATTTTTCCCCAGGGCTTGAAATTTTTGCAAAATTTTGACACGGAACAACATCTAAGCATGAAAATCTATTTGCCCATTCCCCTTAGAGCATTTTCCCACTCTACCCACTACACATTTACCCTATATGGTTGTTCAAATAGATTCAATAGACAAATGGTCTAAATTTTCACTAAAAATCTAAAAGTTAAAAGAAATTAACAAGATGATGAAGCATATCAGATGTGAATGAGTGGAAGAGAAGAGTGATCAACAATGGCTAGGCGTGTAGGCAAACAATTAAAGATGAAATTTCAAATTTGTGCAAGTTGTGAGCTTAGAGAGGTAAAAGGAGAACAGTGCCCTAGCATCTCTATTTATACTATTCGATGCATGCCAAGGAAAAAGGAGGTAAGTGCAGCCGCAGAATTCCAATTGCGGTCCGCACTCTGTTACTTGGGGCTCAAATGCCCTTTTGTTGTTGCGGTCCACAGAATTTGTTGTGCGGCTGCAGATTTTGTTGCGGACCGCAGACTTTGTCTTGCGGCTGCATATTGGCCATTTTTCAGACGGACCAACTTCATAGAGTTGTCATTTTCCACCTTCAATTTGTGCAGTCCGCGATGTAATTGTGCAGCCGCAGAGCACCTTTTGCTGCAACAACCATTATTGTGCGGTCCATACATTACAATTGCGGTCCGCAATTCTTTCCACACTTAACCAAATTTTTGGGCACAATTCATGTAAAGCACACTCATACCTGCAACATACTTCAAATCTAGTTAGCACAAAAATAACACCTAACTACAAAAGAAGAAAAGAAAAGAAAAAGAAACATGGGTCGCCTCCCAAGAAGCACCTAATTTAACGTCGCGACGCGATGCAGATTACCATTATTTGAAATGAATCACTACCACAACATGGCCATCACCAACTTTTCTCAAATAGTGCTTCACCCGGTGACCATTGACTCGGAATACCTCATTATTTTTATTCTTCAAGTCCAATGCACCAAAAGGCGTCAGCCCATAATTTCAAAGGTACCACTCCATTTAGACTTTAGCTTTCCGGGAAACATCCTTAACCGTGAGTTGAACAACAAAACAAGATCGCCCACCTTGAACTCTTTGTTCCAAATGTATTTTTTATGAAGGTACTTCATCTTTTCTTTGTACAAGGACGAAATTGCATAGGCATGGTACCGAAACTCATCCAATTCATTCAAATGTGCAACCCTCAAGTTAGTGGGTGCATCCCAATCAGGATTCAATTTCTTTAGAGCCCACATAGCTTTGTGCTCAAGTTCCACCGGAAGATGACAAGCTTTGCAGAACACCAACCGATATGGAGACATTCTTATAGGAGTTTTGTAAGCCGTCCGATAAGCCCATAAAATATCATCAAGTTTCTTGGACCAATTCGTCCAATTAGCATTCACGGTTTTGGACAAAATACTCTTTATCTCCCGGTTGGAGACTTCCACTTTACCGCTTGCTTGTGGATGATAGGGAGTCGTGACTTTATGAGTGACACCATACTTGGCAAGTAAGGTGTCGAAGGCTTTGTTGCGAAAATGTAACCCCCCATCGCATATGATAGCCCGCGGAGTACCAAACCTTGTGAAAATATTCTTCTTCAAGAACGCCACCACACTTCTCGCCTCACTGTTGGGTAGAGCAACAGCCCCAAACCATTTGGACACATAATAAAATGCGACCAAGATGTAGATGTTTCCACAAGAACTCACAAAAGGTCCCATAAAGTCAATACCCCATACATCGAAAATATCAACCTCCAAAATGGTTGTGAGGGTCATTTCAATTTTCTTTGAGATTCCACCCGCCCTTTGACATTCATCACATCTTTTCACTAGATCACTTGCATCCTTGTAAAGAGTGGGCCAATAGAAACCCCAACTAAGCACTTTGTTCTCGCTCCACCGTGATGACCACCATAATGCGAAGAATGACAAGCCCCAAGAATTTCACATTGCTCCTCTTCCGGTACACATCTTCTAATCATCCCATCCGTACAAATACGAAAAAGGTATGGTTCATCCCAGTAATAATCTTGACAATCCTGTTTGAGCTTCTTCCTTTGGTTTGAAGAGAACTCATCCAGGATGATACCACACACAAGGAAATTTGCTAGATCCACGAACCATGGCACCTCTTTCTTTGAAATAGCCTAAAGTTGTTCATCGGGGAAGGAGTCATTGATTTTAAGGCCATTATGCGGCCTCCCCTTCTCCTCCAAATGAGACAAGTGGTCCGCCACTTGGTTTTCACTTCGTTTTTTATCTTGGATGTCAATGTCAAACTCTTGCAACAAAAGCACCCATCTCATCAACTGAGCATTGGAATCTTTCTTGCTAAGATAACGAAGTACCGCATGATCCATGTGGACAATCACTTTAGCACCCATCAAGTACGAGCGGAGCTTCTCAATAGCAAACAAAACGGCAATGAGCTCTTTCTCCGTGGAGGTATAGTTGACTTGGGCACTATTCATGGTCTTACTAGCTTAGTAGACTAGATGAAAGATCTTGTTGATGCGTTTCCCCAAAATAGCCCCCACCACTACATCACTTGAATCGCACATGAGCTCAAAAGGAACACTCCAATTTGGGGCGGTGATGATGGGAGTTGTTGTCAACTTGAACTTTAGCAATTCAAAAGCTCTCATGCAATCATCATTGAAGTTAAACTTAGCATCTTTATCGAGAAGCTTGCACAACGGGTTTACCACCTTAGAAAAATACTTGATGAAGCGCCGGTAAAACCCCGCGTGACCTAAGAAACTCCGCACGCCCTACCGAAGTTGGAGGTGGAAGTATAGAAATCACCTCAATCTTTCCCTGTCAACTTCAATTCCATTCTTTGAGATTTTGTGGCCAAGGACAATGCTTCCTCGACCATAAATGACATTTCTCCCAATTTAGCATCAAATTTATTTCTTCACATCTTGCCAACACTTTATCCAAGTTTGCAAGACAATCATCAAAAAAATTCCCGACCACTGAAAAATCATCCATGAAAACTTCAAGGTAATCCTCCACCATGTCCATGAAGATAGCTATCATACACCTTTGAAAAGTTTCCGGTGCATTGCACAAACCAAATGGCATCCGCTTGAAGGCGAAAGTACCATAGAGACATGTAAAGGTTGTTTTCTCTTGATCCTCCGGAGCGATAAGAATTTGGTTGTAGCCGGAATACTCATCAAGGAAATAATAGAAATCATGGCCGGCCAATCTATCAAGCGTTTGATCTAGGAAGGGAAGTGAAAAATGGCCCTTCCTTGTGACTTTATTGATCTTACGATAGTCCATACAGACTCTCCACCCGGTTACTGTTCTTGTACGAATCAACTCATTCTTGTCATTGGTGACCACCATCATGCCCCCTTCTTTGGGACACATTGAACCGGTGAAATCCATGAACTATCGAAAATGAGGTAGACAACCCCGGCATCCAACCGCTTGATGATCTCCTTTTTGACAACCTCTTGAATGGCTTCATTGAGTCTCCTTTTATGTTCAATAGATGGTTTGGCACCTTCCTCCAATTTAATCTTGTGCATGCAAAATTCGGGGCTTATCTCCCGAATGTACGCCAATATCCATCTAATAGCTTTCTTCCTTTTTTGTAGCACCGCCAATGTAGAATCTACCTGCACGTTAGTCAAACAAGTGGAAAGAATAACCGGTAAAGTAGAAGAAGGTCCAAGAAATTCATACCAAAGATGTGAAGGCAATGGCTTCAACTCCAAGACAGGAGGCTCTTCGATTGAAGGCTTTGTAGTAGGAGTTGTCCTATTTTCAAGATCCAAGGAAATTTTTCAGGGTTCATAGGTGTACGAACCCATTCCTTGCAGAGAGTTCACACATTCCACGATCTCGTCATCGTCAAGTTGAGCAAGACAGCCTCCAACATATGACCAACATTTATCACAACACTTGCTTCATCCACAATCACATCGGTCACCAAGTCAACGAAAGAGCACCCCACATTGCTATTGAGTTGCCTCACGGACTTACACGCTTGGAAAACTACTTTTTCATCACCAACCCGGAAAGTAAGTTCTCCGGCTTCAACATCACAAAGTGCCCCGTAGAAAGGAAAGGTCTACCAAGAATAATCGGTACCTTATAATCAACCTCAAAATCTAGAATGAAAAAATCCATCGGGAGAATGAATTTATCAACATGAACCAAAACATCCTCAATCACTCCCAAGGGTCTCTTCATAGTGTGATCAGCCATTATCAATCTCATAGAGGTGGGCCTTGGTTGCTCAATTCCCAATGTCTTGAAAACTGAATAGGGCGTCAAATTTATACTTTCCCCAAGATCACAAAGAGATTTTGTAAACTTGGCACTTCCAATTGTACAAGGAATCGTGAAAGCACCGGGATCCTTCAACTTGGGATCTATTGAATGCACAATTTCACTCACTTGATGAGTGACTTTGATAGTTTCAAAATTCATCGACCGCTTCTTTATCACAATATCCTTCATGAACTTTGCATAACCGGGCATTTTCTCCAAGGCTTCAACTAATGTCACATTGATTGAGAGACTCTTCATCATTTGGATGAACTTCTTGAATTGGTTTTCACCATTTTGCATTTCAAGTCTTTGAGGGTATGGAGGTCGAGGCTTAGGCAATTGTGCCTTAGCCCTTTGCACTAACGGTTCCGGCATGTCAATAATGTGATCCTTAGATGGGTTTACCTCCTCTTGAGTCTCTTCCACACTATCATCAATATTAATCCGAACCTCATCATTAGATTTCTCAACATTGTTCGGGATCTCCTCTTCTTGCACTACTTTCTCTTCATCCGCAAGTTGCCTTTGGCTTGAGGTGGGTGCATTCCAACATTTTCCACTTTTTGTAGTAACGGCCATGGCGTGCCCCGTATTGTTCCCACCCTTTGGGTTCACCACCGTGTCACTTGGTAGTGCCCCCTTAGGACGATATTTAGAGATTGAGAGATTTTCCCTATTTGAACTTCCAAGTTGCGGATTGATGTATTGTGTGAGGCAATTTGGGCCTCGGAATCGGCATTCTTCTCCATCATTTGCTTGAACATATTCTCAATACGCCCCATTTCATTGTTGGAAGAACTTGGACCATGGGAAGGATATGGAGGAGGGATACTTGGTTGTTGATACATCGGGGGCCTATGAAAACCGGCCCTCGATTGCCTTGATTATTGTTCCATCCCCATTGATTTTTACCTCCCTAACTTTCTTGATTGTTGCCACTCCAATTTCCTTGATTATTTCCACCACTCTAATTTCTTTGATTGTTGTTGTTATGCCAATTCCCTTGATTGTTTCCACCACTCCAATTACCTTGACAGTTAGAGTTCCAATTACCTTGATTGCTTTGAGGTCGCCATTATTGTGGATTGGGGCCTTGAGAGTTGTTTCTTTTCCCTTCGTAGTTGTTCACATATTGCACCTCCTCCTCTTGTTCATTGTAAGATTCATCTTGATCAAACCCACTATCTTCTTGAACATAATTCTCCACTCGGTTTTGCACTTGCAGACCCTTGACCCTTATTTTGTTTACCATCATGTTTACTCCCTCAATGGCATTGACTTGCTAAGGATTTTGCACTTGTTGAAGTTGATTCTTTGCTAATTGATTCATGGTCATGCAACTCTTAATGAAGGTGAATCACGTTTGGATCACCTTGTGGAACATTAGCCCGAGATTGCCATGCCGATGTTATGTCCGCCATTTCATTCAAAATCTCACAAGCTTCCGAATATGGCGTAGTCATGAAATTCTCATCGGCAAGTTGATTCACCACACATTGGTTTGTCGTATTAATCCCACGATAGAAAGTTTGTTGAGTCATATTCTCCATCATGTCGTTATTGGGACACTCTTTGACCATTGTTCTATACCGCTCCGATATCTCGTGTAGCGGTTCATTGGGCTCTTGCTTGAATGCTAAAATCTCATCTCTAAAAGTAGCCATATGCCCGGGAGAGAAGAACTTGGAAATAAATTTCTCCGCCAACTCATCCCAAGTACGAATGGAATGGTTTGGCAATCGTTCCAACCAATCTAAAGCTTTTCCCCATAGAGAAAAGGGAAAAATCCTTAGCCTCAAAGCATCCTTAGAGATGTTTGTTTGTCTACTCCCCCAACCAGTGTCCACAAACCCCTTCAAGTGTTTTATATGCATTTTGACTTGGAGCCCAGGTGAAGAAACCTTATTGCTCTAGCAAAGTGAGCATCACATTGGCGATCTGAAAGTTGCCCACCCTAATATGGGGAGGGGCTATTGGACTTGCATACCCTTCATTCGGCAACACCCGGTGTGGATCCGCTCGTGATGGAGGTGGGGGTGGAACTGGGACATTGTCATGAGGCGCCCAACCTCTTCTATTTGCTTGAGGTTCAAGAGGAACCTTTTCAACTTTGCAATCCTCAACGTCCACATCCCCCAAAGGCATGTTTCCGAGTTCATTGTTGATTGTTGCTATAATTGTACCTACAATTGATTCACACAAATTAGTAACACTAAAGGAAAATAAGATATTCCACATACAAACCCAAATATATATCTAACACCGTTTTTAGATCCCCGACAATGGCGCCAAAAATTGATCACATCCAAATGCACACCTCTAAGAGGTATGACACGGTCATTTGCAGTAATTAAACCCAACAAAGAGTCGAGATCGAATCCTCAGGAAGCTAAGATGGGAGTTATGAGTATATATTCGGAATAAGCAAGTGAAGTATCTAGATTGCACTTCCACAAATAGGTTTTTGTTTCTACATCTTAAACTAAGCTAATGATTGCATATTTAAAGATATGAAACTATAGATGATTGTTTTTGAGTGTTTTCTTAATATATAAAAGGCCTAGGGCTGTGACCATGACCTAGGTGTTTGCCTAATGGGATAAAGACTTTTATGCTCGTTTTATTGACTAGGGTGTATTATAGCTCACAGCACTACGTTTCCCACTCAATACCTCTCAGTCAGAGAGTGGTTTTGCCCAATTTGGCTTTCTCAAGACCAAATGGATATCTACCAAAACGGTTGATAAGAGCTCAAGTCGGGTTGTTACTATCTCTAGGTTGAACCCTTTAATTAGGTTAATCAATCTCTCAATTGACCCAATTCCTTGTTACTTAAGTTAGCGTAGACTAGGTCCCTCTTTCTCAAGAAGAGACTAAGTCAAATAGGCATGAATCAATGTTTGCAACAATTAATTCTACAATTAAAGCATGAACTAATCTAAATAACAAACACTCATTCATGAACAAGCATAAAATTAATCACCCATAAGGTTTACACACTAGGGTTGGGTCACAACCCTAGTAAAAATCTAGCTACTCATAGTGGGTGGAAGAATAAAAAGAAGAAAAGGTAATAAAACTCATATTGGAAGATTAAAATAGAGAAATCTAATGTTAAATCACCAAAATAAGCTAAAGTTTCCTAAAGAAGCAAAGAGAAACGACTTCAGTACATAAAATATTCAAAACTTGACCTAATTTCCTGAAACTCTTCTATTTATACAAGGCTGATAATTTTGGAAGTGCCCCTCGGGAGGTTCTGCGTCCGCACAATTCCATGTGCAATCCGCAGAATTCTTCATCTTGAAGGATCTAGGATTCTGCGGCCGCACAATTCTAAACTGTGGACGTGAGGCACTCTTTCTACGGTGCGCAGATTTAGCACTGCGGCCGCAACCTAGTCTTCTGTGGTCCGCACCTTTACTTCTGCGATCGCAAGCCTCTTCTTCTGCTGCCGCACAATTCTTGTGCGGTCCATAATTCTGAGGGACTCGAAACTTGGAAATTCGCACACCCTCTGAAGTTAATCTCAAGCTCTTCTTTTGCGGCCGCACAATGCCTGTGCTGTCCGCAGTTTGCTAGAAAGTCTGCTGGGATTTCCTTCATTTGTTGCGGCCGCAGATGAAATTTTGTGGTCCGCACTTTGTAAGCTTTTGTGTCTTTTATTGCCTTGTGTTTAGATTACTCCTTTTTTAGTCGGATTTCATCGCGGGAGTCCAACTTCCAACATTCCTACAATTTTGCACATTTCATCAGTTTCGTGAACACAATTCAATGCGTTTAGACTAAAATAAAAGCTAAAAGGCGCTCATAAGTAGTTAAAATCCCCACTTATCACTCACATAAGTGTCAAAGCCCTCGGTTGGCACTTTCAGAATCTCACCCAGTGTTTTTGCGTCAATAACCAGATTCACTCCGCTAACATCAGTACTCGCTTGATCATTCTCCAGCACTTCAAAATTCATGTAAAAAAGAAGCATTGCTTCACCATACATGAATGGTAGTGGCATAGGAACATATGAGTCCATCCCTGGACCTCCAGTTTCTCCTGCAATTCCTTTATCCCAAACATAGTCACCACATCAGGGTCGATCACGTTCCCTTTCAGCATCATCAGCCCAGCAAACCACTCCTCTCTCCCAAATATAGCAATTTTTCTCTGAGTTTTTTTCCTTCTTTTGGAATCTGGTTCCTCTAACTTATGGATCAGAGACTGTAGCTTTTCTTTTCTTGGCAGATTTTTCTTTGGGAGTGGCTTCAGAAGATTCAACTTTCTTCTTTCCCTTTTCTTGAAGAAGAGCTTCCTTCTCCTCCTTCTCTTCTTCATCACTATTATCTTCACTCACTAAGTCCACCTCTTCTACATCAGACTCATCAATTATCCTGAATCCTTCTCTTTCTTTATTCGTTTTCTTGCTCTCCTCCATAGCTTTCTCTAGTGTTACCTTGCTTCTTCCTCTAGTCACAGGTGTCATACCCCTTAAATTCACAGCCCCAAGAGTCAAGACTGCTTTCATTGCACCAGCCTTCACCCTCTTTGGTGCAGATTTTTCTTCAGCTTGCCGCTTCTCCTTTAGCCTAGCAATGAGTTTCACTAGAGCCTCATCATCACTGTCTTCACTATCTTTTGTTTTAATTTCTTCTTCTCCTCATTTTCTTCCTCGTTTTCTTCTTCTTCTATATCAGTCCAATCAAAAGACTCAGATTCTTAAAGTTCATTTTTTAAAGAAGCCGGTTCTTGATCGTGAGTCTCTTCATGTTTAGTAACAACTTCCATAGCAAATTCTCCCTCACCAGCAGCAGAAGAACCTAGTTTTTGTCCAAGGGCTTCTGGTGCTTGTACTCGAGTGCCTATAGTTTCTCGATGTTATACTACATCTTCCTCCTGTGTATACTACATCTTCCTCCTGTGTCCCCTTGTTTGAACCCTCAACAAGATTTTCACCCTCTTTTACTGCATTCACCTCACTCTCTATAGCCACCACACTTTGACATTCATCCCTTTATGCAGTACCTATTTTCTTAGTAGCGATCATATCCGCCTGTTCTTTACAGGCCTCTTCCACATTATCAGTTATTACTTTCCCCTCAATTCATGACTCCTCCACAACTTGTTTCTCACTTTCAAATCCTTCACTATCATCTTCATCAGAGTAGTCGACTAATCCAGTAACAAGTTTTGGTACTTTTGGTAGGGAAGGTAGTTCTTGACTGGATTGGATGTGTGGGTGTGTGACTGGGTGCAGTGGTGTTAGGGCTTGTAGTTCTAGCTGTTTCATATGGGACTTTGCTTGGTAAAGTTTCCATGATAATGGAGAATTTTTGTTTACTCAGGAAGACAAAGTTGGGGTTTCAGAATTTTGGAACAAACTTTTTGGGGATTTTGATTAGAATGGGAAGAATGAAAAGAGAGGAAGGATATATAGAGAGTGATTGACAGTTTGATAACTTTAATTTTCTCTTTTAATTGTTCCTAATCCAGCTCTAATTGGGAGAGGGGGTAACCGTCAAAGGATTTTAAATTTTGAAAAGTAGTGGTTAGAGTGAGTTAATTAAGCGGTAAAAACGTGTGCATGTGG